CCCAAAGTAAGCTAATTTTGGGAAATATTCACCAAAATGGTTGCGTGGCAAAAGTATTTACCAAACTAAGCTTCCAGGCTAAAACGCTGTCTCAGTCAGCGTTTTATGCCTGGTTTTTTTAAAATAAAAAAATTCAACTTAAAAACGTTGTCCCAGACAGCATTTTTAAGTGTTGACTTTTTTTTTTTGAAGTTTCCTTTTTATTTCAGTAATTGTAAATATTTTGAAAATATAAAAGACATAAAACGCTGTCCTAGACAGCGCTTTATGTACAAACTTTATTGTACCTAAAACGCTGTCAGACAGCGTCTTATGTTCAACATAAAAAGCTGTCTGGGATAGCGTTTCTCTGCTGGTCTGCAATACAGCAGCAGAATCAGCCTTTTGCCACTTTCTTCTGCCCCCACTTTCTTCTGGTCTGCCACTTTCTTCTGCCCCCACCCACCACCCCCTGCCATGATTTAGCCACCACAGTCCACCAGCAACCCCCACCGTCGACCACCATCTTCCACCACTTTTGACCTCCAACAGCACTTCAACCACCTCCACCACTAACCCCAACCATTCAACAACCGTCGATAACCACCCACCACAACCAACAACACTAAAACCACCATGAACAACCACATTAACCACCACGGGCCATCCTTTCTTCCCCATTTTCGACTATGGATTCCAAATGTCTATTGTTTAATATACATTAGCCCAAAAGGATCTATTTTGACTGACATAAATCCGATTTGGATAAATAAGCAAACAAAACTTCAAAACACAAACAGATTCATTCAACCAGCATGTCTTATATTAATAATGCAATCGTTATATACAGCATTCCAGGAAATGTTTGTGTAGAACAAAACAATGATACAATACAATCACTACTCATCAATTTGGTCTAACCCTTCCCTAGCCTCACTGTTGTCCCTTCGTCTTGGACGACGCCGACTGTAATGGTGAATGGTGGTGAATAGGTTCCGGCGCGGGGGGGGGGGGGGAGTGAGCTGGCTGGACGATGCGTCCTCCTGGGTTCTGAAGGGTGCAGAACTGTGGAAGATGTACTCTTCTTCCTCTGTGTGCGACGTAGGATCACCTCCACTGCTACTCTGGCCGGGGTCGAACCGTGAATGGACGGAGTGACCATCATCACCGTCCCGTTGTTGGATGAGATAACCGTGACCATGTCTGTGTAAGGAAGTCACGGACATATCTCGCATCCGCTCGACCTGGGCTCTGGTGGGTCCGTCTGTAAGGGCGAGGGATAGTGCATCATACATCGCCACCATATCCGCCGCCTGCAGTAATCATCGATCAGTCAGGTACATAATATTAAAAAAAGTTAAAAAATGAGAATGATAAGTAAAGTAAAAGAAACTCACATATCTGCTAATGACGTCATGTGCTGGGTGGTAATGTGTGGACGGTGGTGTATGTAGCACAGACTGCTAGCACATGAGAAGTCCACTCTATGATAAGTAAAGTAAAAGAAACTCGGTTTGTTGCACGTACACGTTCTCAACTGCCAGTTCACCGTACGCTTGTGGCCTCCTTTACTACCAACTCTCTCTCCCCTCTCTGTTGTCACTTGGTAAATATGCAATCGGCGGTTATAGGCATCCACTCTATGATATCTGGCTTTAGCGGTATTTCTTCTCCAGGATGGCAGTGACCTTTGGGGGGTATGGAAGTCCCTGATCAGACCTAGCCTCGGAAGACTCCCTTCTCAAAGTGAAATACTTGTTAACTCTGTGGAAGGTTAACTCGACAAGGGACATAATCGGTAGAAACCGAGCTCCCTTTAGCACATTGTTGAATGTCTCCGAGAAGTTAGTAGTACATATACCATACCTACGACCATTGTCGTGAAACAGAGACCACATAGGGAACGGGACTTGAGTAATGTACTCGATGGCCTTGTTACAGGCCTCACCAATGAAACACATATCAACTTGAAGTTTTCTTTCTTGCCTTTGGTACGCAGCGGCCTTGAACATGTCTCTCATGTCGTTACTTCGCACGTGAGTCTTCAAGTTAGAAGCTATATGGCGGACACAAAACCTGTGATACACTCGGGGCTGGGTGAATCCAACATTAGGATCATTCATTGCTGCAATGATCCTAGGATGTCGATCAGAAATAACACAGAGGCCATCCCGTTGCGTGACATTATCTCGAATACAACCCAGGAACCAAGACCAGCTGGAAGTGTTTTCCCCTTCAACCACCGCAAATGCAATAGGAAATACTTGGAAGCTCGCATCAACACTCGTAGCAACCAACAGTGTTCCTTTATACTTCCCGTACAAGTGCGTCCCATCGATACAGATAACAGGCATACAATGTTTAAAGCCATCGATACAAGGACCGAAGGCCCAAAACACTCGTTCAAACACTTCCATGTTGCTGTAGTATACACCTTCCACTAAAGCTTTGTGTTTCCATACGACACATGTTCCCGGGTTCGACCGTAGGAGTGCTTGCATGAAGTGGGGAAGTCTGCCGTATGAACTCTCCCAATCACCAAATATCTCAGCTATAGCTTTCTCCTTGGCATACCACGCTCGTCGATACGGGACATCGAAATGAAATTGCTTTGAGATCAGTTCCTGTATGAATTCCACTTTCAACGAAGGATCATTCCGCACAAAGGACTTCACATACTCGGCTATTACGGACGAATCCAAGTGTGGGTGATCAGTAGATAGTACTTCAGTGACACATGTCTCCCGATGCGGGCCTTTGTAAGTGACTATGGTAAAACCACGCGAGTGCTCACTCGATTTGGTACCCCATAGCATCCAACCACATTTCTTCTTGCATCGCAGATGTAGGACACCATCATTCGAGGTCACTGTGGTGTAGAACTGATTCCTCTGAATAGAATACATCTTCACCATTTCTTGAAGCAGTTTCTTGCTCTCAAAATACATTCCCTTCTCAAATTCTCCCCTGGGAACAAAAGAGGTGTGGCTACATGATTCGGCCCAATACTGATCAACTTCATAGCTCTCGGGTACCTCACTGAACCAAGGTATGGGAGTTCTAACCAACGGCTCACCATCTTCCATCTGTGCAGGTAAATCCTCCTCCTCTCCGTTCTCGTCTTCATCATCCATTTCTGCATACACATCATACACCGACAATTCATTATTCACAACATCATCAAAATGATTTGGCTCTTCTCGAAATGGTGATGCTTGATCACCTTGCATAGGAGAATAGCTATGCAGTTGCATCGGTGAAGATTCCACGGTGTTCGATGACGACGGAGCAGGCTGGCCGAACACTGTCACGCATCCCCCCGCATGTACTGGTGAAGCTATATCAGAACTAAAAGGCATGTGAAATTGGTCGTCCTGCATCATTCGAGTGAAAGATCCCATCCCATATGCATTCGATGGAATGTGGTTTGCGGGCTCTTGGAAGGACGCAGTGTTGTAATCAGAGACATATGTAGTTTGTTGTTCTGCCCGAGTACTTTGTTGGGTACATATAGGAACTGTTTCTACATATATCTCATTGGGAAAACCCTTCATTCCAACCATGCTCCTCAAACCTTTCAAATGTCTGTTCGTAGAGACAGGTAACACTTGAACCCCATGACCAGTATCACACCTCATTTTAAGGTTCAGTTCAACAGTCATTGGGTTTGAGCCAATACAACTGTGAACCTCATTCATCAGATCAGTCACAGTCATGTTCGGTTCAAGTGTTATAAGGTCCATATTCCCTCCACTGTACTCAACATTTGATCCATTACACAAAATTTCACCTCCCCACCGACATAACAACGCTACATTTTGTCCAGCCATATTCTACATAACCAAAACACATATTAACATAATTGAAATCTATAGCGAGGTAAAAAAAGTTGCCCACAAACTAGGCATTAACTCCGTTTATAAACTCTTAGTTTAGGATGCAACGCAAAACGATTACTAACAAACTACTATTTTAAACAATAAACTAATATGAAATGGTAGATAAATTATCAATAATGAAATAACCGTCTTCTCACCAATAATTTATAATTATCAACAATTATATTTCACATAATACCATCATTAATTTTAACTATTTCACAAATAAGTACCACATTACCATCAACAATTTGATGAACAATTTCATCAACAATGTACCACATTACTATCAACAATTTCAACAATTTCATAAACAATTTCATCAACAATTTCAACAGTTTCATGAACAATTTCATCAACAAAGTACTACATTGCCATACAAAATTATCAAAAAGTTTCCACATTTTCATAAATAATTAGCAAGAATCTTATACAATCTCAACAATAATAGCAATTGTCAACATTACAATAGTTTGAACTTAGGGTTTACCAGGATTTTGAGTGGGTGAGTGAGGGAAATAGGGAAAGCAGCAACACCGTCTCGCGGCAGCAGCACCGGCGTCCGGTAGCAGCAACTGTGACGGCAGCGGCGCTTCGAGGCCGGAGGTTCACCGTGGTGGGGCAGCGACGCTTCTACGAAGGAGTGAGAGTGAGTGATAGTGAGAATGACAGTGAAAACAACCTGCGAACAAACATTGAAAAGAGACGCTGCCCCATTGAAAAGAGACGCTGACTGAGACAACGTTTCATTTAAAGGAAAAAAAACAACCTAAAACGTTGTCTCAGTCAGCGTTTATGTCTGTGTTTTTTTTTTTTTTCTTGAACTTTTATAAAAACTCAATTTATGTTGAACATAAGACGCTGTCTGAGACAACGTTTTAGGTACAACAAACTTTGTACATAAAACGCTGTGTTAGACAGCGTTTTATGTCTTTTATATTTTTAAAATATTTACAATTTCTGAAATAACAAAGAAACTAAAAAAAAAGTCAGCACTAGTTGATTTTTTTTTTTAAAAAATCCAGGCATAAAACGCTGATCGAGACAGCGTTTTAGCTTGGAAACTTAGTTTGGTAAATACTTTCTTGCTTAATATTTCCCAAAATTGGCTTATTTTGGAAAAAAATCCTAAAGTTTGTGATAGTGAATATTAACCAACTCTAAGAACGTACACACACAGTTAGTTCATCAGTCTCGAATTCTCCCAATTGAAGGCAATGTTTGGTCGTCAGATAACACCATTGCTCAGGAAACTTTGCGGGGCTTCTCCAATTGCGTCGTCTTCTTGCAGAGGGTTGCCTACAGCATCATCATCATCATTATGCCATACTCGTAATTAACTTTCAATGATTTGCGTTTTCGTCGTCTTTGATTTCTTCTTTAATTTCAATGCAATGTTTTTGCTATTACATTTCTTAGATTTTGAATTGATTAATAATCAAAATGTTATATGCAGATAAGAATGATTAATATGATTTTTTAATTATGATTGGGAGTAGAATCATGGATGAATGGTTTGTTGAAATTGAATTTGAAGAATAAAATGTTATAGGATTGTTGGAAATTGATGTTGAGTATGTTATATTTGATCGATTGAGTAACTTTAAATCATGTAATTGATTGCTGAAATCTGTTTTATTGTTGAAGTTGGCAATGAAGTTTGTTTAAGGACATAGTGGTTTCTGATTATGTGTTTCGAGAGGCGTTAAGGATTGTAGGGAAATTTGGGATATATTCATGAAGTGACCTTTGTCGAAAATGGTCATATGTAAGTGGAGGACGACTCGTTACTTGTTGAGTGATGTAGATAAAATTGGAAATGTAATTTACACTTCTCTAATAAGGATTGTGAAAACTGAAAAGTGAACACAAATGCGAAGTTGGAAATACTTCCTAATAGCGGGTACTAGTATTTGTTTTCCAGCCCTCAAGTTAAATTTTAAGAATATTACTCTTGGATTTTCGAGGGGAGAAAATTAGAAATGATAAAATGTTCTTGAATGAACATTTTAGTTGTTTTAGCGGGCACTAGTATTCGTTTTCCAGCGCTCAAGTTAATTTTTAAGACTCACTCTTGGATTTCGAGGGGATAAAATTAGAAATGATAAAATGTACTTGAATGAACATTTTAATTGTTTTAGTTTGCTTAAGGACAATGCTGTTGAGTCTCCTTTTGTCCACAACATGACCCCTCTAATAGCTTCATGTATCTTTTATGGTTTCTTTTTGTGTGCCCTTTTTATAGTTTTATAATAGTTGTGTTTAAGTGATTTATAGCATGAATATGATATTGCTAAATCATTTAATGTACTCATATCATATTATATCTCTTAATCTACAGCTACAACTAAAGTAAAAACCGCTTACATATAATACTTTGTGTCATTTTCTCATGAAAAAAATTTTCTGCCAAAATTGCTTACGACATCATTTTGTTTTTCTTCTCTATTTTTTGTCCTTCCAATTCAAAGATTGGAAAATAATTTTTTAAAATAAATGGAAGTGTGAATAAACAATTCACCAAAAACACATTAATGACATTTCTTTTTCCAAAACCCTTTTTTATGTGAGTTCCAAAATTTATTGCAAAATAAATTTATTTGTAATACTTTGTTGAAAAGTATTAATTTTTTATTTTAAATTGTGCATCACACGAGTACTAATCTAGTTGTTACTTATTGTAATGATCAAATGTCTGGTCACAAGTTGTCGCTAAGGTGGTAGAGTAGTGAAAAAAGTAAACTAATATGGATATGACAGAGTGCTGTTTTCCTTTTAAGGTGGGCACCGTGCCGGGCTGTGCCGCCGCGGGCCGTGCCTGGCGGACCACCGTGCCAAAGGTTGCGTGCCGTGCCGTGTCGGCCAAAATCGCAGGCCAGCCCACGGCACGGCATGGCCCACGTGCCGAGTAGGCTCGTGCCGGGCTGGCCTGCCGTGCTTTGCTTTTTTTTTTTTTTTAAATGTTTATACTATATAAATAAATAAATATAGATAAATATATAAATATATAATTTATATATAAATATATATATTTATATTTATATAATATATATATAGGGCGTGCCTGGCGGGCTGGCACGGCGGGCCAAGGGGCGGGCTCATGCCGTGCCGTGCCGAAAAGTGCAGCTCCTGTCTGTGGCACGACCCACGGCACGCCTGCATGCCACCGTGCCGTGCCGGGCGGCCTGCCCAGCTATAGTGTTTTGTTTACCTTGATATATGCAATACTCATATTTGTAGGTCAAAGCAACAATATGAATTATCTTGTTACTCTTTAACATTATGTCGTTATTTTCAGGGAATATGATTTGTTATTCTCAAAATGGCTTTGAACATTCAAAAACAAGATCAGGAGGCTTTTTATGGATGTTGCTACATGGACAAGCAGGTGTCACACATGAAACATTGGTTTATACTGTGCTAATGTTCAATTGTCCACGCTGTATTTTATCTTGAGAATTCTTGTGGACATTGCTATGTTTTTAAGTTGTTGAATGTATATGCTCGATAAATCTTAAATTAGTTTTGACACATATCAGGGCACATAGTTTAAGGTGATAAGTTATTGCTTGAAGATGAATTGTTATTTTTATTGTAGAAGTATATGAGATAGATGAATAGTGGTGTATGGTGTTTTTATATTAATTGTTTGAGAGTATGGGGCCTAACTATTGTAGCAGGAAGACTGAACAGAGATGCATAAAAATAATTGAGGGATTTGAAAAAGGAAAGTGCAAAATTTAATTTAGGCTAGAAAGAGTTTTCATATGTTCCTTGACTCTTGATTATAATTTATTAAGTTCGAGAATCATTATTAAGTATTCAATTACTTTTACTTTTGTAGCACTTCTCTTTGGAGGGAGCTGCTCTCTTGTTTTTGCTGAAGAAGTTTCAAATGGAAAAGCCTCTGAAACTAATGCAGGAGAGTCAGCTAATGTTGGATTACAAAGACTTGAGGATGGCTCAATTATATCAAATGAACATACGTCAAAGTGGCGAATATTCACAGATAATGGGAGAGAATTTTTTTTGCAAGTAAGCACTCTGTTGATTTTTACAAATACTCAAGCCTTTGTTTCTCCTTATCAGTTAGTAGGCTCTTATACTTGGTCACCTTATTTTTTACTGCATACAAGTCTTTATTTTTAGCTAAATCTCCACATTGAATTGCTTTTGATTCAATTTAGGGGAGAATGATTGAAGCTGAGAAGTTATTTTCATCTGCCTTGGAAGAAGCTAAAAAAGGTTTTGGTGAGCGGGATCCACATGTTGCATCTGCATGTAACAATCTGGTGAGTTTATGTTCTTTGTTACTAAAGAGGAATTGATGACTTATCCTGGATCAGAAATTGTGAAGGATGTATGTATTTGCAGCGTTTATGCCGGTATTTGTGTGACTGTTAGCTTATTCCTATAGCTTTTGTCTTGTACATGTCGGATTAAAGTATTTAAGTAAGTATGAATGAAAGAGCTGAGTCAGCTGACTATTTTCTGATTTGCCTCGCTCCTCTTTCCCTTTTATCATTTTCTATCTTTTAGAAGACAGGCTTCAACATTTTCCATTGAATGGATCTCACTTAGTTAAATTGTATTTCAAGTAGTTTGAAGGCTTAGTTGAAAGTTATGTTTTGGCTAAAAAGCTTGGTTTGTTTTTTTAGTCTTACTTTCAACTTTAACATTCGGATACACTGTGTTGCCTAAGATGATTCCTTAGCTCTTTGTTTGGATAACTATAGTGAAGGGAAAGGGAGGAAAAGAAAAAAGTGGGAAGGGAAAGGGAGGTGAGGGGAGGGAGAAGGTCAACTTCTATTTTCCTTCCAAATCTCTCCAACAATGGAGGGATTTGGTTTATTTTAAAGGGAAGGAAAATGGATCCTTTCTATTCTCTCCCCTTCCCTTCTTGCATTAGATATCCAAACAAAAGATGATGCATCCTTTCTTTTCTCTCTCTTCCTTTCCTTCCATTTCTCTCTATCCAAACATAGTGTAGATGGAGTCAAGGTGTCAAGTTGATGGTGCTTAGGGAAAGAAACATACCAACATATTTATATGATGTAGCCCTCTCATCAAGGTTTTTAGTTCCTTTTTCTTTTCAGGCTTTTGTATAGCTGGAGTCAAGTTTTAGGGTATGAGCAATATTTGTCTCTTGATTTTGTGGATGAATTGCTTCATAATGTTTTACGGGCATGAGTTGTGTTTTCCTTAGTGTTCCAATTTTACATGGGTGACCCTCCTTTGGCATCTTCTTTATATATATTTCTTTGTTACATATCATTATTGAAAATTCCTTAATGTAGGTGGGAGTTAGTATTTTAACTTGTAATTTTTAAGTGTATTTTGTTTTTGAAGATAGTATATTTCTGGAAACTCTTTTGTGAGGAGCGTGACTCAATTGTAGCATCTAATTTGGTTACAAAATTCAAATTGAAGCTCCCCAGATTTAAGATTAAGTTAACAATTTTTGTGTGTGAAGTTAATCTTGATAATCTAAAGATTCTGAACCCTTTTCTTAATTTGAGAGCTTGGCTGATGAAGCCTTACTATTAACTTAAAACACCCTTAATCTGTTGATTGATGATTGTTTAAGACTACGATCAATTCTCAACGGCTCAGTTTTCAAGCAGCTTGTCTTTGCTGGAGGATATTATTTCTTTTTATGTTCTTTAGCCCCCTTTGTTGGGAGTTATATTACTTTCGTTGGAATCTCAACTGTAGATAACATTTGATAATTTCTGAAAAAGTTGTTTCTGCTCATTCACAGGCAGAGCTGTACAGAGTCCAGAAATCATATGATAAAGCAGAGCCCTTGTATATAGATTCTATTAGTATACTTGAGGAAGCATTTGGTCCAGATGATGTGCGGTAGGTTTCTATGCAAGTAATATGCTCTTTTGGGCCGTCTGTCTATTCTTTAGCTGTGATGTCTCACCTTCTAGGCTTGTTTAACTATGATATATTTTGATGCTATTGGATATCTTCTGTGAGCTGGCAATGACTTTTTGAAGAATAAGTGTTTCCATACCTTGATGAGAATCATGTCATGTGGAGCTTCAAAGGGAGTTATTGTTAGGAAATAAAGTTCCTACTTATACAAATTCTAGCACTATGAATTGGTGAAATAAGAAAATACAAAGTAGTATAATACCAATTACACCAACAAACCAAGCACCAATGAGTTTAGAAAGTAAAATTACAGAAAATCAAACTAAACTACAAGTATGAAGAATTACACTTGCCTCACTCCAAGCCAAAGAAACGACCAAGAACACGAGAATACCATGGACCACGTGAGTCTTCAATACTTGATACTCGTCTAAGACGTGTAAACACTTTCCTAAAGCGATAATTTCCCCACAATGGTGCTTGGGTTGAAGTAGAAATTCGCTTTGAGATACAATAGACGATCACTACAATCTTAGCACTAAGATGTGTAGAAAGATGATCAAATTCTTGATAATTAACTTAATTGATGGAGTTTTCTATAAGAGATTGCAAGTTTCTTAGAGAAAATTTGCGAAGAAGAGAGAAAACTTGGAGAGAAAAACCAGAGAGGATAAAAATAATGAACTGCTCTCATTCTTTTAATTTCGCAATTAAAAGGAAAACGAAACCGCTACTACTAGGAGGAGCGGCGCTCCTCAAGGTGGAGCTGGCGCTCCTCACACAAGTTGCGAAATTCTACAAGAAGGCAGTGAGGGGCGCGGTTTAGGCGCGACCAGACGCGCGGCCGTGCCAACCTCAACCTTCCAAATTGCCTATTTCCAGAGAGGTACGCGGTTTAGGCGCGCTCTCTGCGCGGCCGCGCAAGCGCCTGCCTTGCGCGACCGCTCTTCATAGTTCGCGAGCGTGCAACCATGAACACTCTAAATATCCAACAGTTATTAACAACACATGCATAGCTTTGGGATTGTTGCGCTGTTGAGATTTTATACAATTCTTATTATCAACAAAAATATTCTTTTCCTCGTCATTCTTCCATCCTTTGGCATTTATTGTACTCATAATTGATTTCTTTTTAAAATTTTGGGATAAAGTACATATTGTAACTTGTTACAAATCAAATTGTGATGGTGAGTTGCATGATTACGTGTTGTAATTTTCTCCCTTGCCATTAACCTTAGCTATACTGTTTGAGCCGGTTCTTATAAATTATTATATACTAGGCCGGTTCATTTTACTTTTGGTTTGCTTATAATTTTCTTGTCGTACTCTAAATTGGTAAATCAAAAATATTTCTTGGCTCCTAAGAAGTTAGGAACCATCCATCTGGACTTTCTCCATTATATTGGGGTAGATCCAGCTTGTGTATGTACCAATTACATCTGACTCCTCTTCTTAAGTCCTAAGATACTCTGCTATCCAATGAGTCATTGCCTGTAACTGCCATGGCGGATTTTCCTGGAGCTTCAATGATTCACCCCACCCCCATAGTAGCAGCACATGCGTTGGAATTAAAATCAATTTGAGTGTTCATACATACCTTAGGAGGTTCCATTACCGGAACTTCTTCATCATATTAAACATCATCTTTTGGTTCTCCCATGATCAACTGATTAGACCGGCAAACTTCTCATTCATCGCAAGTAAGCTGTCATTAATCTCCTCATCGAGATGCTTAGCTGCAACCATCATACCTGCCGTGATCTGGTCCGCCACCACTTACCTCATGCTCTTCGGTGCTCCATAAATAACTACTTTGACCTTCACAGTGATGGAGTCATTAGTGGAGTTTAAGAACAGTTTGAATTCCTCCACCTGATTGTAGACCTTTGTTGCCGGTGCCATGGACTATCACTTTGATTAGAGATGGCAATCGGGTTGTCTAGACTCTAGATTGGGTCAAATTGGGTCATTTTTGTGTAAGACTCGTTTCAGTTAACTCCAGGTTCAATTCAGGACAAGTTGGGTCATTTTCGGTTCTATTGCCAATATGCTTTTTTTGATAGTATAATCATGATTAGATACATAAATTATCAAGTCATTTTGGGTTAGGTTGGGTCGGTGTGGATTGAGTCAAAATCAGGTCAAGTGATTTTGGGTACTGTTCGGGTTTTGGGTCAGGTAATTAAGTATGGGTCATTGTTGCAAGGTCTACTTTTGATACATCTTGCTAAGAACTTTGGTGAGATTCCACACAAGTATATAAAAACAGAACAATGTATAATGACTTGAGGAATAATACGGGGGAAAAACTAATCTATTACTTATACTAATTGATGAGAGTAATCAAAAGCAATTACAAGTTACCATGCTCCAAGTGGTGGAACTCCACTCATGAGTTACAGGATTCCCCTCCACCCCCCTCCTCTTTATTTCTTTTATTTTTATACAACTCCTTCCGTCTTTTTAATCTTTACATTGGAATCTTTTTGTGAGAGAAAAATGGTCAAAGTGTAAACATTAAAGAATATGGAGGGAGTAGCTGCTAACAGCATTTTCTCTGCTGCTCCATAGATATCTTTGAAATTCCCTTCTTATGAATCTGGGGAAGGATTGATAGTTTATTGTATTTGATTTTGATTTGATTAAATCATTCAATAGAGCTCCAGATCTCAGCTTAAGTGGCTGGATACTTTCACTAAGGGAAAGCTAATGAGATAAACTTTTTCAATAATATTCTTCATGCTCCTTATCTCCTTAATGCTCTCAATTTATAACATTCCTCCTCTAGCTTACTCACTTGTATTCCTCCTCAAGATAATAGTGAAATTGCACTACTTATATTGCCCCCCTTCATTAAACCAGCATTATAAATGAATGTGAGAATTCCAGTAGATTATTCCTGAATAGAGAACTAATTTGGTTTGATTCACATAATTGAAGCTGTGTGAATGAAACCCTATAAAAATATGAATAAATAAATATCAGCTGTTCGTATTTTTTGACCTGGAAAAACCATATGATTGTGTGTCTGTGTAGAGGTCTGTGGATCCAATAAGGAACTTATTGCATGTGTTTGGTAGCAAAATCCTAGATACCTATGTACCTATAGCAAAAATTATAGGATATTCTTCACATGTGGTGGTTATCAGTAGGGTATCTGCTTGATAGGAAATCTCGTGAGATACCTATTTATTCCTTTCCATATAATATAGGATAAACTTACATGTCTCATGGGAAGTTATCTTCTATAAAATTGAAGTTCCATTTTATTATCACATTGCTAAGTACCTAGTTATCCCATGTGATTTTCTTTGCTATATTTTGATTATTTTTTCTAAAAAGGATGCCTTACTTTCAAAACACAGGTTTGTTAGGTTGAGAAAGAAGTTGGGAACCTAGATGGTATTGTAGTAACTCTGAGTGTGCTTTTTTATTTACACTGTTTATTGCAAGTGTATTTCATCTGGCAGTTTCCATTTAATCTAGGTTGCAAAGTAAATGCTTAACTGCCAGTGCTTAGATGGGCCGTGGTTGAGCTATCTGCATGCATTTAGATATCACTTTATGCCGTGTCTATCTTTATGTGTCAATTTGTTTTATGTTACATTTACAACACGATCTTCCTAGCAAAGTTACCTGTATTGCCTCTACTCTGACTATGTTACTGCTGCAATTATTCATGACTTTGTATATCTGAACTTTCCGTCAATACATTGTTGCTGAATCACAGTGTTGGTGCTGCCCTCCATAACCTCGGTCAATTCTATATTGTTCAGCGAAAATTCGAAGAAGCTCGAGTTTGTTACGAGGTAGGTACAAGGATTGATACAATTTTCTATTTCTTATATCTTGTTAGTTCTATGGTAGTGATAAAGTTGATGTGTGAGATCTCATTTTTAATAGTCACATATTAATCGTGTCAACTTCATTTATCTTTTTCCTTCTAATTTGATTGCTTGTGACAATTGGCATACCGTGGGTCTCTACCAAATATAAGTCTTGATAATAGTTGACATGCTTTTTTATATATCTAAATGTCTGAAAATTATATGAACATTTCAGACGCTGAGAAAAACCTATTAGCAAATTTTATCGCCTTCTTTAAGCAAATCTTAATATTGCGACTACAGTGAGGACTTCTAATATATGTCTGATATCTGTTTTACATTGTTTCATGTTGTCTATCTGGGACTGAGATTTGTGGTTTGGAACAGCGGTCATTAAAGGTTAGTGTTTCTGTCAAATCGCTATTTAATGTGTTCTTTGGAGATTAATGCTTAATTCTCGAAATTGGAAACTAAAAAGATTATTGTTTTGGTTGGATCAATGTTGATCTGCATTCTTCCATTGTTTTTTCTATGTACTTTTTGGCCCTAATATTACTTATTTATTGTTAAAATGCTTTAGATCAAAGGGCGTGTCTTGGGACATGGTCATGCTGATTACGCAGAGACAATGTTTCACCTTGGAACGGTGGGTTATCAAGCATTATATAGCACGTTCAGTGTATCTGAGTGGTTTCACTTATAATCATCATTGCTTTAATATGGCTTTGGACCGCTCTTGGTGATTTGGATTTTTCTGTTGTTCTGTGATGTCGTGGCTCAAACGATGTAATTTTCAGGTGCTTTATCTTCAAGGAAATGCCAAGGATGCGGAGGCCCTTATTAAGGATTCTATTCGGATATTAGAGGTGCTTCTTTGAATTGTGTGACAATGTACTGTATGTGATCAGTGTGTTTATCCTAATGATGTCTGGTACTTTATTGCTTCTTAGGAAGGTGGTCAAGGGGAATCATTCTCTTGCATACGGAAGCTACGATATCTAGCAAAGGTTTATAACGTTCTCCTTTACCTTGTATTAATTTCATGTTTGGATGCTATTTGCTATAAATAACTTCTGCTGTAAATTTGCTGGTTGCTTTATTTGTATCAATGCTACCTTAACCTGGCTACTACATTGGGCTATGATACCTTTTTTTTTTTTTTTTTTTTTTTTGTAGCTAAGTGAGTATGCTTATAATTACTATAGCAAAAAATGCTGCTACACTTGGGTACATGTACAAAGGAAGAGCATTATACTGTTTCTAAAGACCTGAATCCAACCTATGAATAAAAGAAACTCCTTTTTTTATCTTGAAGAAAGCTATTTTCCCCCTGAAGATGATGAGTTACGATAACTTTGTATGGATTAAAGGAAATGGAGGGAAAGGAAGGGAAGGGAAATGGAGGAATGGATCATCTTTCATTTGGATAACAAATGAGGAAGGGAGGGAATTGGAGGGGGAGAAATGGAGTTATTAAATTGTAAGAAATTGATCTCTCCAACAATGGAGAGATTTGGAAGGAAAGCTCATCATTTTTCCCTTCCCTTCCCTTCCTTTCCCACCCCTTCCCCTCCCTCCCCTTCTTTTCCATCCCCTTCTTCTACCCAAACAAATGGTAAGTAGAGCTGTCAATTTGGATATTCGGGTCGAATTTGAATCGGGTCAATGTAGGTCGGGTTAATTCGGGTTGATAGCATTACCTATGCAGGTCGGGTTAGGGTCGGCATGTTCGGGTTAGATCACATTGGATCATGCATCTTATCGGGAATGGGTCGGGTTCAGGTTGGGTCAATAATAGGTTGGGTTGAATTTGAGTCGAGTTAGCAACAAATCGGGTGAAATTAGAGTTTTGGGTCAATCTCGGTAAAGGTTGAGTTCGGTTCAGGTCAATAATTTATGAGTCATCTTTGAGTCGGGTCATGTTCGAGTTCAAGTTTCAAATACTCGGGTTATTAGTAGAAAAAAATATGCTTGCTGACTGAATTAGCTAACAAAATAAAAAGAGTAACAAAAGGATTTTTTTGGAAAATCGTATAATGTTGCCATTGGAGCATGGTTCGAAAATGCAGCCGCACCATTACGATTCGGGCGATTCGTAACGGATTTCATTTTTACCGAACCGGGTGTTAGCGTTTTGGTGCGGATCTTTGAAATACAGCGCATTTTCGGACCGAATCATCCGATATACTCATGAATCGCTTGTGATAACGCGCGAATCAGGGCTTTTTTCTGAAATATTGCGAGATTCTTAAGTAGTTTTCCGGCGAGCTTTCGAGTTCTCCATTAAAGTCGATTGTTTTGCAGCATAAAGATATTTTTATTGAAAAAATAACATGTGGTTGGGACTTGGGAGGGGTTTGCATGATAGCTGGAAAGGTCACCCTTTTATTTTTCTTTGAAATTTGACCTGACCCCACTAGCTGATTACTAAGTAACAGGTGGCTCCCCCATATCTTCTTCTTTTCTTTTTTATTTTTCCCACGTGAACCCCCCCCACCCTTTTTCCCCTTTTCAATTACTACCAGTTTACTACACACAATAGGGGGTTTAATTTTTGAAATGTACTCCAGGGGGTTTAATTTTAAAATGTACTCCACTAACAATATAAGTAGTATTTATAAGAATATAAAATTTCCAAATATTATGAGAAAAATCATAATACTTTTATTCATAATAAACATATAAAAAATTGTGTGAAAACCGCGACGCGATACGCGACTAACGCATCGATTCCGTTACCGAATTACGCGACCGTTTCCGCGATCACAACCGAAACCGCATTTTCGAACCATGCATTGGAGTGTAGCTTTCCTAATATACTAAAATTCAGAGATCAACCCATGGCTATAATTCACCACTTCTCGGCTGCTCGCCTTTCCTAGACTCCCACTCTCTATTCTCACTGCCACTTTCTATCTTCAACAAGGAGTGAGTAATCGGTCCAAATAAATTTCACGTTCGAATTCTACTCTTAAATTTTGGATCTAAACATTAAATCTTCTTAAAAGATTAGGGTCAGGTCAATAACAAGTCGAGTTGAATTCGAGCGGGTTAGTAACATGGGTTGAATTCTGGTCGAGTTAGTAACAGGATGGGTGAAATTCGACAGGTCAGGTCAATAATTTATGAGTTATATTCAGTTCGGGGTCATCTCCAAGATGGTTCATGTTCGGGTTCGGGTCTCAAATTTTCGGGTTAACTCGAGTCTAGGGTAGGCTTCAGGTCGGGTCATATCGGGTTTGGGTCACCATTTTTCTTGGTTCAAACAGGTTGGTTCATAATCGGGTTCGGGTAAATTTTGTGGGTCGGATTAGCTTTTGACAGCTTTAATTGTAACTATAGATAAGAACTCTGAAAAAAATTTAGCCAATCATCTGCTCTTACTGGCAGCAAATTAACGAGGCCAATTTACTCAAATATGCAAATTAGTATTAGATTAACTCAGCTGCAACCATACATGATTCTTTAAGCGTAGCAGCTTGAGTATTCAAATCTGAAGATAGTGTTTCTTAGATATGCAACCTGATTATATATTCTGCGCATACCTAGGGCTAGAACTGTCAATTTGGTTGCTCAGGTCAAGTACTTGGTTAAATTGGGTCAATGTACCCTTCAAGTTGGGTCAGGTTTGGCTCGGGTCATGTATCATTGTATTTGGTTAATTCATAATTTTTAGATTCAAAATTTCTACGTTTTGTAATTTTGTTAATCCTACTAAGCCAATAAGGCCGAACATGAATTTAACCATACTGTTATTGACCTAACATGAATTTACTTTCAGATTTTTCAGCTTAGGCCTTTTATTTGCTCTTTAATGAAAGAACCTTTGCTAATGTGAAATGCACACTATATGATAACTGCAGCCATGGTGCAAAAACAAGGTAGCAGCCTTTTGTTTGGGCTGCATCATGAATGATTTTTAATTTGACCAAGCCGAAATTGTCATGTCAACAAGAAGTGTTTTAGAAACACGCTATCTCGTCCAAATCAAATGTTCCATGCCGAATCACCCCACATTGAAAGTTACATCCTGTGCTTCACTCAAAAGTTACTTCCCTTTCAGAGAGATTTACCGAAAGATTCCCCCTTGCCTTCCCAATATCGCCTCTAATCCTCTATTATTTTACTCTAACTATTTCAATAGTATACGACTACTTTAAAACTCTAAAAATACTTTGAAACCAAATTATCACCGTGACAATCATCACATGGTACACGATCAATGCATCATTTCTGTTCCTGCAATTCCCGTGGCCACAATTAAAACCATAATTCCAGACCATGACCACAACACAGAAGTCATGAATCTTTCCGATAAAATGCTTACCTTATTGTTGGTTATATAACTTATATTGACAGCATTATCAGAAGATAATTGACAATTGTTATTCTCAGTTTAGTCACTTAGTGTTGCTTCTGACATGATCTGCCAGCCTCTTCATGAATATGCTTTGCTAGCACAGCTATTTGCTAAGGCTCTGCTAGTCAAAAGTGGTTTAATAAGTCTACTTCAAAAAGCTACATTTGTTAGCTTTTGTGAACTACTGCCTCTAGTCCTCTACAATTCTACATCTTACAGAGTTAAGCTATTCTTAATGACAAAAACATGAAAATAAACACTTTTTTTTTTTTTTTTTTTTTTTAACCTTCAGTAAAGTTTCTATTGGGTCCAAACTCCACATGCTAGTTGAAAAGCTGTTGATGAACTGGAGTTAGGAATGTAGATTCTTAAGGGCTTGAACATTTGATATAGTTTTTGAGAGCACAGTGGTCCATGAAGTGCTGAATTATTATGATTATAGAACTGTCAATTATGTGTTGTATTTTCAATGTTAGCTTACTATGTGCCCTAGGCATTTGAATATATGTGATTAGGACTACTTCAGCCTACCTGGCGGTGAAAACATTCTTCTAAATAAGTCTTGGTGTTAATACAAGCTAACAAATTAATTTGGTAATCTGTTTGGCATAGAAGAATGTCATTTTAAAAGCTTGTGTCACATGAAGCTTGACTTACGAGAGAGTGCTAATCTTTAGATTTATTTTTCTTGATTTAATACTCTCATAATCTGACAAATTGATGTGGTAATTTGTTTATGACCTCAAGTTTCATCTGAAAGCCATTTGCCCTCATAGTAGCCCAAATTAAATTCTTGTTGCATGGAGTACATGACAAGTATCATAATTCTTCCTATGCATAATCTTGAAACCTCAATTGGTTCGTTCTTTCCCCTTGAATGATTGAACTCGTTCGGGAATTCAAAAATAAAAAAACATATGTACTAATCTCAAAAGGATGTTAGTGTCTAAATAATAACATAATTGCTCTTCTTTCCTCTTTGATAAGCTTAGGCATAATCAACACTTGAGTAGCAACATGAGTAGGTAAAGGATGCGATTGCCCTCTTTTGTCCCCCACCTTCACTAAATAAACTTTGGTAATACCGTTGAACAACACTCCTCTATTATATTGCCATGGACAACCTAATATAGAACAGGTAGTCATAGGTAGAATGTCACACCACAATATATTGGAATATAAACCCAAAGAGAAGTTTACCAAAGCTTGCTTCTTGACTTGTAGTCCATGTTCATTGTGTAGCCAATTGAGCTTGTAGGAGTAGGGTGGTCTGTAGTAGAAGTTTACCTAAGCTTGTTCTTTGACTTGGAGTTCACCTCCATCGTGTAACTAATTGGACCTCTAAGAAGTACAGATCGTTCTTATCGGGGAGCTTCATATCACCCATCTTGCTTATAGTAGAAGATAATTTTTCCCTTTGCTTTTGCAATAGGAGGAACAAAATCAACATGCAAAGCTCCCCTTAAGTCCTTAAGATACCATTCTTGACCTTCGGAATTGTCAAAATCATACTTTTCCTTCTTATTCAGCAAACATGTGCTCTTTTTCTCTTCTTGGTCTAGGCATACAGTCAACATTCTATATTCTTTTTTAGTCACCTTGTTGCCACAAACTCTAGAAATGTCTCCCATGCCTTGACACTTGAAATATACTTTTCCGGATTTACAACAATCAACTTTCCTTTTCCTACATGGCTACATCCTCTTTGTGAAAACCATTGGGAATAGCCTTAAGATTATTCACCCTTGAATTATTCCCATTGAAAAATGGCTTTTTCCTTTGAAATAAGAATTGTTTTTTTATCTTTTCCCTCTCAAACTTCTCAAAATTTTCAGCTAAACTCAAGACATCATTGAAGAACACATACTTTGATGTTTCTACTTGTGTGCAATAGAAGGTGTGAATCCCTTCATGCATTTTCCTTGAAATCACAAAGCATGCACTATTTCTCAAACTCTCTAGTGTATTAAGAAACACTAAGATTTTTTGGTTCAAGGTCATTCAATTTCAAGACCTGATCTTGGATGTATACTTGTGGTAGGAATCATTTCTTAATTGCCTCTTCAACTCACTCCAAGTATCAATTCGAGTCTCATCTTCCCTCATTCTCTAGGCACGCAGATCTCAAACCATATAGAAGCATATCTCCTATGCAACTTTATAGGCAAAACCAATCGAGTACCTAAATAAAGAAACAAAGATAGTTATAAAAAGAGGTCATGATTTGCATCAATTTTCCTTTTGGTTCTGATTGTGCTTTAACTTTTTGAGGACCAATTTATCCTCTTCACACCCTTTTAGAGGAAAGAAAAAATAAAATTCTCAACGGTTTATGACAAGTATTTTGTCTCTTTGATTCATATTCTTTGTGCAATTTTCTATAATTAAGAATATAAGTTGATATGAAGCACAAGAGTTTAATTACCTACAGTTTCCAACTCTATTTATCTGTTGTTTATCTGCAATTACCTGATGCTCTTGTTGTTTTATTTTTCTGTTTATATAAGGAAACTATTACAAAAGTAAAATTATGGTTTATGCTATCTCCTTCTAAATTATTGAGCAACTTCAAACCAGTTTGGTGTCAGGTAGTGATTAATCTCAATTTACCTTATCTGCAGATTTATATAAAGTCAAAAAAATCAACTGGGGGAGGCTGAGAACATTCAAAGAAAGATTTTGCACATCATGGAGTTGACCAAGGTACAGTTCATTTCTGTCCAGTTTGATTTCTTAGATTATTTTTTTTGGTTCAATATGTGTTGTTTCTTGCTTTTCATCTTTTGTTTTATTGTTTAAAGAACGGCTTCAATGCTGCAAAAGAAGAGCTAGTTACAGAAACAAATGTTCTTCCCCCTTTTTCACCTTATACCCTTGTTTTTAACCCCTAATGTGTCATAATACTAGAGTAGCCTTGCATATTGCAATTTTTTCCTTGAGCTATGTTGTCAATTATGGATTCTGAAAAACAAACCTAATCTCACTTTTTTTCTTAAAAGGGGCAGGGAACATCTAGGGTAATGGACAATTAGACACCCAGGGGAGGAAGCGGGAGTGGGGTGGTTGTGGGCTCACAATCTCTGGGAAGATGTCTTCTGCAAGTTTGCAACCCCTCTTCCATTTCGTGTTAATAGTTAATTATTTTTTCGCTTCAATAATACTCCCTCTCTTCTTTTTTGGTCTTCCTATTTTCTGTAGCATTCGAACCAAGGGAAAGAGAAAGTTACTGGAAAGTGGGTCCCTTTTTGGGTTAGAAAGTGAAAGTTGGTAAGTGACATGGGGTTAAGGAGGGTAAAAGAGATTTCTTTTCCCTAATAAAGAATCAAGAAAAAGCAGAAAGTTCAATGAAGAATACCCCTTAACCAAAAGTGGGAAATTTTTAAAAAAAAAAAAATTACTGGAAGTATACTAAATTAAGTAATGCAAACCTGAGCGAAATTCAATTTGAATGTCACCATGGTCCATGGTTATCATCCATTGTTGTATGTGAAGTGTGATTTAAAAGACAATAATAATGACATGATCAACGAAGTGCTAGAAATTGTTTGTGGTGCGATTTAATACTAGTGTTAAGATCAACATTGTTTAATTCTCTGTAATTTTATAAATTATACTTCGTATTATGATTTCAAAAGGATATTCGGAAGGAGCTTTAATTTTTATATAGTTACTAAGTTTTTATTTTTTAGTTTTTGTTTTAATTTTTGTTTTTGTTTTCCCCCCTCTTACTATCACCTAATTTAAAATGACAACGATATTTATTTATTTATTTTATTTTATGTAAATTTAAATGCAGGTTCAAAGATATTAGGAGTAGTATTAGTTTAATCTTCCATTCATCCTTCCTTCAAAATTACATGAAGTACTTATTCTGTGTGGAATCATTGAGTTTTGAATTGATGCTCTGCATAGTTTGTTTTATGTCAATGGTAGCTCCTTTTTTGCAAAAAAATCTTAGGCGTGTTTGTATAACAATTTAGGGTTTTGGGGTATCATTTTCTTGATTCGTTGGGGCAAGTTAAAAGAGTTGTATTTGTGTCATGATTATAATATGCAATAGTGTAACAATATTTTATATGCATCACTTTATTATCACTAGATTTTCTTATATTGGGGATAAATGCGTGTCTTAGGAATGAATCAATAACTATATACTAAAAAACACACCAGCAATGACACGTGTCATCTTCTAGTATTCTTTTTAACATAATTATGATGATTATTACTTTAGGAAAAATGACATCTATCCACGATTTTGTTATCAAGTATTCTTAGAAATATTCTATATAAATTTTATTCTTCCTATTTTGCAAACATATTTCATCCTTATACAATCAACTAAATATTCTTTCATAACTTTTCATAGACATTATACTTAATTATTAGGTAATACGAACATATGCTAATTAAAAAATTATGAATTTAACGAATATACGAAGTTACGAGTATATGATTATAAATCTCTATTATATATAGGTGAAAGGAGGAGGGAAAAGTGAAAACTTTGAAAAGTTGGTGTCTAAATTTTGAATTTCTTATAATTTACTCCCCTACTTTATTAAGGTCAAAATAAAAAAAAATTTACAAAATGATTAGAAGTGCAAGATTATCATAAAGTTTTTTATTTTCAAATAAAGTATATAATGATTATGTATACACCAAAATAATAATAATTTTCAAATAAAATCCCACATACAGATTACTTTTAAAAATAATCAAGTATTTAAATATGATGTTACTCCATACAACTAAAATGATGTAAAAGTGCATGGTTAATAATTATGTTACTTAAAAAATAAATCAAGTATACCAACTAAAATTTACTCCATACAAGATAATTTCTCACCTAAAAGGTACGGTGAAAGTGATGATTACCATGCATATTCTATTTAACATATAACTGGAAGTTTCGTAATTGTATTAGAAATTTAGAAGACTGTCATTAATGTATATAGGTGGCTAGCCATATGGTGTTACCACATTTGTTTATAATAGTAATCTTTATTCATTGTTATGAGTAAACTCATTTATTCATAAGAGTAACCCAATTTGTTTATAAGAGTAACCTAAATCCACTATACAAGTAATATCAATTAAGTAAAAAAACGTAACCTCGTTTCTTCATTCAAGAACCCTGTTAGTTTATTTTGATTAATAAATTATAATTAATATATTATAATTCCACTTTTGAATGAGAGTAATCTCATTTTCCTATTGAAGTAATTACATTCGTTAAGATATCCCATTGAAGTAACCTTATCCACATATAAGAGTTTGTGCAGATCTTATATACTTCCTCCGGTTTTTTTTAACTATTACACCACTTTTTTTTTAAGGAAGTTTCACAAATATTGCACTATATCCATTTAAGGAAACAAAATATCTCTGTTCACATTGCAAACACCCCATATACCCTTACTTTTAACACTTGATTCTTTAGTTTATGCCTACAACACATGGTTAGTTTTGTACTTCTAGTGTTCTACCCCTCTCTCTCTTCCTTTTTTCCACTGCCAAAAAAATTGTGCCTAACCTATATGGTGTGATAATAAAAGAACGGAGAAAGTATCTTGAATTCTTGATATTATAAATTAAGTTTTGTTTTCAAATTGTATGAGATTAGTTGCACTAATTTATTGTCAATTAATAAACATTATATTTATATCAATCTAAATCAAGTTAAATTATAATCCAGGCATTCTAAATTAGATAATTGCTCAATAAGGAGTGATCAACGAATCACTTTTGCTGGAATTGCAGATGGTTTGTGGCTATCGCAGCCTGTCACAGTTGCACCATCGCGGTAAGCTCAAAGTCTTTTACGATGTGATGCTGTGGCTGAGATTATTACCCTACTATATAATTGACTTGGTGTGACAAAAATCAGCAAGGGTTCCAGTGAGAAGCTAGATTAGTAGATTAGGCTTTTTTTTTTGTATTTTAGTTTTCGTAATTCAAGCTATCAGTGAGAATTACTATGCGGATATTATGCATATAAGACTTAAAATTGTGTCCTAAAGTTTCTAAGCATTATTTTTCATTCATGTCATTTTTTTTTTTTTTTATATACTCCATCAGAAATTTATAGTCAAATTTAATCTTTGAAAAATGTCTAGTGTTTAACTTCAGGAACAATACGGTAGTGACTTAATAAGACATTCTAGCTTTAGATAGGTAGATTAATCTGTATCGTAAGATTGGTACTCTTTAGGCTTTTTATAATCTTACTGAGACAGTCAAACTAAGATTCCAGTTGCACTACATTATGTTTTATCTCAATGTTAGACTGATCATTAGGTACTTGCTTCTTAGAGATAACTTGATTTGCTAACACTTCCTGACTTGGGGTGGTCACCAAAGAGATACACATCCACTTTTGTAAGATAGTACAAATACAAGATTAGTGGACCCTTCTATCAAGGACAAACAGTATTTTGATACCCATTCTCAACAAATAATGGAACAGTATATTCCCACTTACCCACGAAGGCTTCAATCAGCCAAATACTAAGAATCCGAGATCATATCCTCATAATACATCTCCAGCAAACTGATCATTAGATTCCTGCTGTTTAGAGGTGATCATTTTAAGGATCACTACCTTGGGGTGCTTATAAATGGATTTGTGAGTTCTGTATAAACCATAGACTTCTATTTTAAATGTAAACATAATTGTAAATGTCTGCTGGTTTCTGGCTTTTTGGTTACCTAAACTTTAATGATTATTTGCTACGAAAAAATCATCAGTAACTTGATCAGTGATATTTCTGCATTAATAAGCCTCCCATATAAGTGAGATTCCAAACAATTGGAAGCTGCTTCAAATGTATAATTACATGTCATTACAGTCTTTAAAGTCCTTGCTTTTCATCTTTAACAGTGTACTCCTTGTTTTACCCATCTCATTGATCAAGGGTTTAGATTTCTTTCCTCTGTCTGCCTCCTTGTCCCAGTGATAAAAGCAGAGTTACTCTGATTTTGTTATAGTTGCATGCTTTGATTGATTCATGCTGACTGGATGATATGATATTCTACACAAAACTTGTATGTCATTTTGCTTATTTTGGATTTTAAAATTTACATTCAATTGCTTCAATTGACTATTTAAGTTGTGTACTGAACAGGGCTGGGATTCTCTAGACACTGTAAATGCTGCCGAAAGTCTGTCCATGACTTTGCAATCACTGGGAAAAGTAAGGGATGCAAGGGAACTACTAGAAAGGTGAATTTGTTGTGATTACTAGAATTTACTTTTTACTTCAATAATCTTCAGCTTAAAGTAAACACAATATGTTTTTATACATAGGTGTCTTGATGTTCGGAAGACGTTACTTCCTCAAGATCACATTCAGGTCTATGTTTCAATCTTCATTCTTTTAGACATTGCAATTCTTAATAAATTTCAATCTGTATTCTTAAGAATATTGCATTATTTACCATTATCTTTTCTCCTGTTGGTCTCATTTGACGAGTTGTGGATTTTTGCTTTTCACTTGGCTTGTTTGACATGATGCCAAGGTGTATTAAATATACACTATCATTCTTTGGACAGATTGGAGCCAACTTGCTGGGCCTTGCAAATTTGGCTTTGCTGAATTTCAAAAATAACAAATTTGCAACATCAGAAGCAAATTTGGAGCTTGATAGAGCAAAAGATCTTTTGACAAATTCTGTCAGGTTTGTGGCTTCTGATTTATCCACAAATATCGTTTATAAATTTCCACTTCCAAATAAGGTGGAACTACATATTCTCATTAGTCTTATACTAGATTAATTTCTGTACAGTAGAACTACCTGTCTTCCTCTTACGTAATTCTCTTTTCTCTTATATTTGTAATTCAAATCTCTCTTCCTGACAGGATAGCTCAGCTAATTTTGGATGGATCTAAAGCCAAGAGAAACACACAAAATTATGGACAACAATATGGAAAAAATGAACATCCTGCGTTAATCATACTGGTTAGTATCTGGTTTTGCAAACAGGGTATTCTTTCTTTTTTCACATCTGATTACCTAGTACATAGGATAGTGGATTAGTACTGCACCATGATATGAGGTAGTGACAGACGCAAACCATTTGCATTTTCCTTAGGAGTGGTTCAAGACTTTAATTTTTTTCTACAGTGTTTTAAGCACATTTTCTTCCAACAATGTTTGAATTCAATATGCTAGAAAATACGTAGCTGTGTAGATCTACCACTTCACATGTTGGTGACAAAATGCTCTTTGTATTTGTGATGTGTTAGCCTGACCAAAATTTTATGCCTGTCAACATATATGGTTTGTTGATTTGCATGCTTGTCATTGTCAATTATATATGGTCAATCACCCTCGGAGCAATTGGCTTGCAAGTAGACCTTTCAAAACGTTCAGTCATTTCAGGTTGGGCAGTTTTGGGTTCGGTTCATTTTCAGTAATGGGTCGAGGATTTATAATCTGGCGCAGAATGTTTGGTTATGGGCCAGTGAGGTTTATTTTTGGTTGGGTAGTTTGGGTTCAGGTCATTTTCGATAATGGGTCAAGAACTCATGTTCATAACGCAGAATGTTTGTTTATGGGTCAATCGGTTAAATCAAGGACATTAATTATTTCCAATTATGGCAGATTTATTGGTGGTTATTTTGATGTTTTTTTTTTTTTTTTTTTTTTTTTTTTTTTTATATATAAATGATTGCATAATCTAATACAAATGCTAATTAGTATTTAATTTAATTAAATTTTTTAAAAACGATTTTATAAAATTTGTCGAAATACGAGTAAATGATAATGATGTTGATTCAAAACCTAACATAATACCTCTTCTCAATTTACATAAAGTCACAATAGAACTATACAACTTTTTTTTTTGCCTCAAGTTGTTAATGTTACAACTTACAAGGTGTTTTGGTGGGATTTCAAAAACTTTTTATACTCCCTCTTTTTTTCCCCCCCTTATCTTCCAACTTTCTGTTTTGATATTTTTAATTTATTTTTTTATTTTTATTCATCCTATTTTTGCTTATTCCTTTTATTGTCATGATAATTTACACTCTTATCACTCCTTATACCACCAAACGTCCACTTTAAACTATTTAATAATATCAATGCTCTTAAACCACTTTCTATCTCTTACCAAAAAGTGATAGAAGGGACCCACTTTTCACTTATTACTTAATTTTTATATTAACAATATGTCAGCAGTTAGAAAAAGAATTAAAAAAAAGGAGGTAGTAGTAAAATTTGGTCACTAAAACAATCTGCTCGGTTTCGATTCCAGTCAGATTTGACCACTTATTTTCTGTTTTTCCAAGATTGAAAATTTTGGGTTCTTATCTTGTGTTCAACAGGGCAAGTGAAGTGCCTATGATAGCTGACTCATTACAAAGGGATTTATAATTAGTAGGGCCCAAATTTATGGAGAGCGTTAATGAACTACCTTTTTCTTTTTTCTTAAAATAAGTTCATAACTTGTCTTGACCTACTTTCTTTGCTAATTACTACAACTGTCTTAGGAAATGTTGTTACCGCTGCTTATTCATATCTTCTAATCATCTTAATGTCTCTTGAAATTTGAAATTGCCCTTTATATAGTTTTTGTTAATAATTTTTTAAAATATATTTTATGTCAATAACAAAATTTCTTATAATTTTTTTCCTTTCTACAAATAACTCTTTAACCTCCATTTCTCAATTAGGCTGCATGAGATTGTGTACTATGGGTTCATAACAGATATCGGAAAGTGTCAATTCCAAATTAGAGGACATGGGTACGACCAACATACTAATCACATAATATATGTAGAAGAAGAGAACATTTGAAAACTAATTCTACAAGTCACTTATGTATATGGTATCAAAACACCGTTCTACTATATTTTTAAATATGAAAATATAAGTGTAATAAAAAAATGACGTATTTGTAAGTCAATGGACTTAATCTTATATTCATTTTACAAACTGAATTTGCAAAACTTCCTACATAATCTCTCTCTCCTATATCATTGTAACAACAAGCAATTAAGCGCATCGAATTAACAATTACACTAAAAACTGTTTTGATTTATATCCAATATTGAATCTCTTGAGTCTTCTCCTTACTCCTCTCAATTTGCAAATTCAACTACACTACCTTGCAGCGTCTGTTCTCCTCCATTTCTCAAGCCCTAAACATCAGCAATGGAAACACTCACATCATCAACCCTCATATTCTCTCTCATTCACTTTAATTTTCCCAAAAAAAGGTTGGAAAGATGAGGGGACACGGGCTGTGTCATAGTAGGACACGGTTCGCGTTAAAGTGTATAAAATTACCAAGTACAATTGTTTGGATTGTTCGAGATGTATCGTCACGTGTCCAAAAGGTACCCTTGTCCGATTTCACGTCAACACGTACAAATAAGTTGGGTGGTGTTTGTGTTCGGGCTTCCTAGCTTCTCAATTGATTTACCAAAATTAAACTTTTAATCTTTCTTCAACATTAATTATTTATTTATTTTATTTTTCAAAATTATGTTCATCAACTCCGCCAGTTGGTTTTCTGCTGCCAGTCCCAAGCCTGGATAAAGGAGGAGGGTTATGGTAGGCCAGTAACTGTTGGTGTAAAAATTTGTCACATCGCTTGACATGAGCCACACTGATTGAGAGTAGTACTAGGATGGGTGACCTCCTGGGAAGTCCTTGTGTTGGTTCATGTAGCCGACCCACTTATGGGATTAAGACGTTCAAGCAAAAGAAGGAGAAGATTATCTGACCACATTAATATGTCTGTTTTTAGCACTTTATTTTCCCTATTTGTTTGTAGATTCAATGTATGCTATTTTGATTGACGTAATAATCCAAATGATTTTGCATAATTTTAAGAGTTGAGTAGACTTCTAATCTCACTGCCCTGTTGCAATCCCACTATGTTAGTATTGTTATGGGATGTCATAGATTTGAATTGTAGAAAGAGAAGAGTATCATTAGTTAAATAGTCTTGTTTATTATTAGTATTGTGCCTTTGATAACAATATGAATAAATCTTGTTAAATCTCTAGCGCTTCACATGATATATAAATAACTTTTCATCATTATAGAGGGGGGGGGGAATAGTAATGTTGTTTTTTAGGCATCACACTGGTATTTGCATTTTTATGACAATTGCACCTCTTATCTTATTGAAGCCCCAAAAATAGTATTTTTATATCTATTCTTTGCCTTTTGTGTTAGCAAGCAATCCTGTCAGCCGGCAAAAAAAAAATAGGCCCAATTTTCTCAATAATTCACTTGCCTATTTTCTTATTTCACCTTCATTCTCTTAAGAGGGTTATCAATGTGTTACAAAAATAGGAAGAATCAACGCCTAATTTATAATGCATATGGTATAAAGTTTTATCTTTTGTGTTGATTGTGAGCTACACAATGCCAGAGTCGTATATATATATTTTTTAGCTCTTTTATTTTTTATTTTGAAAGAAACTTGCATTATAATCATGAAACGTAAAATGTTGACACCTTGACTCCACTTGCAGTTACAGTCACTAAAAGCTCTTGCACAAGTTGAGGTGGCTAAGCAAGAAGAACAAAAAACAGGGGTTAGTATATTGCTAGCCTTTAAGTAGACTTCTCTCCATGTTTTGTCTGCTTTAAGATTTGCATTTTTGAACATGCAATCATTTCTTCTAAAATCTCATACTTTGTTCGTTCATTATTAGTTGACATGTTTCTTTTGTCTTGTTATCCAATACAAAACTCAAGCGTTATCCTTGACTGTTAATAAGTGAATTTTATATAAAACATATTTTAATAATGCTGAGACGAATCTAAAAAGATCCTGCATTACAATGTTTTTTTATAAATAAAAAAAATCTTAGAAGTTAGTCAAAGTAGAGTTGTAAATAGTGATAAAAGTCAAAACGTGTCAACTAGAAAAGAACATTGGAAGTATTAACTATTTGATCATCTTTGTTCTCCTAGTGAAGAATATCAGTGCCACTATGTGTTTAAGAGATTATTGTATTATCTGGTTTCCTTATAGGGAAATGCCTTTACTTTTTAAGCAATTGCTAGCGGAAAATCTAGGCTTTAAATATATGCACAGATCATATATGTTTATACAAGTTTGAATTCGTGGCGTGAATCAATTATGGCTTGTTTGCCATTTCCTACTTTTTTTGAGGCTTACCTACCTTAAAGCAGATATATTACTGCATCGCTCAACCTGGAATCAGAGTTGACAAAACCCTGGAACACTACTTGCTTCTCCATCAATTTCCTAATAGAAATGCTTCCAGAGTTGCAGGTCTTAAAACTAGGGTGATTTGGGTTTGTGGAATATATACTTTTTCCATACTTGGAAGCTAAAAAGATTTTTGTCTATTGGTAAGTGTTATTTATTAGGTTCTTGAACTGATTCTATTTTACATAAGCCAACTTTTGGAGATAAAGTTTATCTATAGATTTTTTTCCTCATTGTAATTTTCACATCACACTTGTATGATTCCTAATCGTCGCCTAGACCACCATAATGCTGTAAGCTGTATGCAGACTTTTAATTTAATCTCTCTTGGAATCTTGGTGAGTAGAATATATATTTTTTTTAAAAGGTAAGAAGAAGGGGAATCACCTAAGATGGGGGGTGGGGGTAATTCTCTCATATGAGTCTGAGTAGTACGTATGGGGGTTAGATGTACTCTGATCAAGTAATCTATAGAATAGGTTGGCTTGTCATTCTAACTAGCATCATGTCCTTATTCCTCTGTTATCTTACGTAAGTAGCCTATGGACGCCGAAGGATCAATTATGAAGATATTAATTGTACATCCATGATCCAATATAGGAGAAAATATGAAATGAAGTATTCTCACTATTCCATAAACATGAAGTTTATGACAATGCACCTGAAAGTGATGGTTGCGTCGTACTCTTAAATCACCTATTATGTGTTGAGCTGCCTAAATATGCTTTAGGTCCTTTTCTGTTTTCTCAGGTGGTAATCTTATGTATATTTGGATATTCTAACTTTTTATTTAACAACTGTGAACCTTTGGCTTACACATATAGGATCCCATGCTGTTTATTTGAAAGTTGATTTTGAATTTGATAGGATTTTTGAAATGTTTTCCTGTGGCTGTGGAGAATTTCCATTATTATTATGATGATCTCATTTAGAAATCAGAAATTTCTATTTTAGATTCTATCTTTGGTTCCCTTCAATCCTTAGCAAGCAGTCTGTAAATTGATGAGTGATTTAAGTTAGTACAATTTGAAGGTATGGTTTTGGCATATGACTACTTGGCCAAAACCCTGAGCCTCATGCAAATTTGAGGTTGGATGGATTTCCTAGACACAAAATAAAACCTTGATTCATTTATGCCTCTTTTGGAGTTTAGTACTGTTTTATCCTGTTTATGAAGACCGGTTTAAAATTATCATGGAGCTTGTTGACTCAGTGCTAGATTGCTGAAGATGATCCATGATTGAATAATGATACACCTATGTGGGATAAGTCTTCGTTTGCTAGGTAGCATATTTAGCTTATAAATTCCCAAAGGCATAAAACAGATATATTTGATTCTTCTGTGAGCTGAGGAGCCACATGATTTTTGAGTCTTCTCTGTCTCAAATTCTATGCAAATTTCCCCCAGATAGAAGCCACATTGGGTTTCTGGTTATGTTGCATACAACCTTGACCATGTCGTTTCTTGGATAATAACTATTGGAGTCTGGAATTTATAAACCAGTTTCTGGATGTACTAAACATGATTGGCTATGTGGTAAAGCTAAGTATCTAATTTGATCTTGGAACAGGAAGCTTTGCCTTTCTTGGAGGCTGAAAAGCCGCTTCGCCATTGCATACGTGCTTTTAAACAGGTACATTTTTGCTCATAACTTGCAACAGATAGGTGTGTTTATTCTCCGTTAGGGAATAGGCTCTAAATATTCTACTATCTGGTTAGTGTTCGTGTAAGCTTCATATCTTCACATTTCTTGGTAGTCGGTTCTGTTGTTGTTGTTTTTTTTTTATTTTTTTTTATTTTTTATTTATTTTTAGTATTATCATTTCTTTTTTAAAATTTGGTTGATTATTGCATCATGGGGCCGGGGGAGTGCACAATATTTAGGAGAGTGGTTGAAAGGTAGTGGAGGGACCGTAAAATCCATATAGTTTTAATTTACCCACCGAAGTGGGTGAAATTAGTGGGTAAAGGCATTTAGGAAATGTAAGTAAGGGCATACTTGGATTGATGTGTGAAAAGGATCTGTAAAATAGGTAAGGTGCAATTGATATGCTACGTATGCAAGAAAGCAATTTTCAAACAAGGCAAATGGTGTAACAATTAAAAGAAATGAAGTATTGAATTTCCAAGAAAGGTTAAAATCTTTCTCTACATGGAGAAAATAAATTTTAAGATGAATCACACGAGGAATAGTAGTTCTTGGGGGAAATATGAATTGAAATACTATCATGTAAAGAAATTCTGATTAGAGGCCCTTTCCATCCAAGTGGCCGATTATTAATTTGTCAACTCCTTGTATCAGTTCATCTTTGCAAGTCTTAGTGACAAATTTGGTGTTCTTGCGATTAATAATTGTCCCCTTGCAATCATAGCATTTACATATTAGATGGATGAAGGTAATTTTTATGATTTGCCAATCCCTTTCTCATATATTTCATTTGCTTCTTTGGAAGTTCATCTCTGGCTTTCGGTGCCATCCAATTTTTAATCTTCAATGCTAAGGTTACTTTGTTCCTGGAAGTCTGGAACCATATTTTGTAGACTGATATGTCAGACCTTCCAATTTATATTGATCTGGTGATTTCATCGTCACTCTAATGTCTGTCTTGCCAATAACGAAGCTATTTAAAATTTGATTTATTGTGTGTATTTTGTGAATATATATAACTTTTTCCCATCACATAAATTGCTCTTATCAATTTAAGTGAGTTGTTTGTCTTGCAGAGGGGATGACAAAGTAAATTTGGTAGCACTTATTTATTATCAACAAACATGCTATACCTAGTTCAGTTTTTGCATCAGATTCTTATTAATCATGTGATATCTGAAATCGACTTATTAATCTTTCATTACTCTGTAGTATGGAGCTGTAGCTTCAACCTCTACACCCATTGCAGTGAAGGAAGAGTATGCTTCTTGCTTGAAGAATCTATTGAGCTTGATCATTGATACTCCTAGCGATACAGAGCATTCCCGTAAAGCTGAGGTACAAAAACTGAAAGATGAAATCATGTGTATTGAAGAAGAAATTTCATTGCACAACAACAAACACAAGCTTTAAGTTTACAGAAATCGTACTTGTTGAAATGTAAAAGTTTAAATTTATCTCTGTATCAAATAGATGAATAAATTGTTCATTTCTTCTTGGTTGGAAGGGGTGTATAAATATTAAGCTAAACCGGTATCCTAATTTAAAATATACATTCTACTCCCAAAAGTTCAATTCGCTTTGTATGAACTATGGAGGTTCCTTGGTGAGAATTAGTTGTTAAAAAGACCTCAATTCAAAATCTTAAATTGTTTTACTTTAAACTCAAAAACGCTAAAAATTGCCCAATGAGAATACCACTTTTAATTCGTTGATGGACCATTCAAGGATGATATAATATATGGTACAATCATAGACATTAAAAAGTATTTAATTTTTTTGATAAAAAATATTACTCGCTCCGTTTCATAATATTAGTTCCATATACTATTTTGGGCGTTTTAAAAGGTCTACCCATATTGAATATGTTTCATTTTTAACTTAATTTTTTTGGAATTAATTGGTTGTGGATTGATGACATGGCTCTAAGTAAGGAAATCTAAACTTTGAATTATTCATCATGACTTATGTTTTCCCTTAAAAATCAAAAAACGTAAATAAGGTAAACTAATTATGAATTATTTTGTACTTTAATGTTAGATTTCAAATATTCTTCTTTTCTTATTTTATGTGATTAATTTCATATGGGCTAAACATTATGAAACGGAGAGAATATTTTGTATTAGGTAAATCTCGACAATCTATGAAATGCTTTGAAACTAAATGTAAAGTATTCTAAAAACATAAAAATAATTAAAAAAAAATATTTCAATATTATCAAAAAGTAATTTAGAGGGAGAGGTGATGCTTATATGCTACGTGTTTAGTTCAGTAAAAGTCTGGCTCCTTTTTCGAGTGTTGAGATAAAATGTCTTTAATTATGTTTTTGCTTGTTATTTTGTTTGAAAATTTTAACTTTTTTCAAGGATTCGTTTGGCATCATTGTAATATTCTATTTTTTGGATTTTTGTTCTTCAAAGCCATATGATATGTGTTATATAATAAATAAAGTGTTAGTCAAACTTATTAAAATCATGACAATTTTGAAAACTGACAACAGAAATGTGGAGACACCTTTCTTTTGCTTTTTGATTTTGGTTTTTTGTTTTAAATAAAACACAAAACTGAAAACAAAAAACAATGTCAAACAAACACTTAGATTTCTGATTTTACTACTTCGTATTATATACAAAAGAATCAAAAGGAAAACATCCTCACGGCTACAAAGGATCGTTAGATTGTCTTTCCAACAAGGCTGTATTTTCTAGCGATATAAGCGAGAGACGTTCCACAATGCAAGATCTACTCGACGATCGTAGTTTGTATGAAGGAAAATTTTATTTGATTCAATATCTTATGTATTTGTTAACATCGAATCTGTATTGTAGATGTCGTATGACTTTTAATTAGTGAAATATTTTTGCTATTCAAAAAAAAAAAAAAAATTGTAAAAATAGTAAACTCGGTCAGAAGTTTGAGTCCAAAATATACTTCAAGTTGAGCGTCTTTGAATTGTGTTCTTACGTGCTTTTTACTTGGTCTAAGCTAGAGATAAATTGAAAGATGAAATCATATGTATTTCATTGCATAGGAAACGCAAGCTCTAAGCTTAATGATTGGTTGTTAGTTCGGCTACTTCACAATATTAACTTTAGAAATTGTAACACATTGTTCGTGTACAATAAGAATCGGTTGCAACAGTTACAACCCTTGAATTACTAACTCTTAAACATCGTAGTCTATCTACAATGTTGGATCAATTTATCTTCTACAAGTACATCAATGCATTTCCACTCTAATCATTAGCTCACAAAGCAATTCAGTCGTCTTATTCCAACCTCAGTTACTAATCAAGGATGTGTAAAACATAATCTATAGAAGAATAAAAAGGCGTCGAACAACTATTTTCTACAAACATTTTACATACAAATCAGTAATAGCATAGAACTACTAATTATACATGAAGAAGAAGGGAGGAAGGAGTCAAACATAGCCTATTCTGTTTCACTTATAAGATACAACTTTTGACCATTTTCAATCATATCTACATCAAGTATTTTACCACCATCTTCTGATAATATACATGATCCTGTAAGAAAGTTTAACTTTTCTGATGCCAACCTAATCAACTCATCTATTGTACGCGGAAGCCATAAAACAATCCCTGGTTTTCGGTTTTCTTTTGTTCCCCATGGGTGGAATGGGAAGACTGTGCATTTCTTATGAAGCTTTTTATCTGCAAGAAAAGAAAAAAAAAAATCAACAATGTGTAGTTCTACAAATTAATTCACAAACAAAACTGATATAATTCAGAAAAAAGTGGTTTTATATTGAAACAATGTTCAAATGTTTGATTATTACCAAGCATTTCTTCAATGTGATCAGAAGATTGAGCCAGTTGAGCAGCTTTCGCAGCTTCCAATAGCTTTATCAAGTTCTTATTTCCACACATCCATGCTTCATCTAATGGTGTGTTACCCCATCTGTAAAAATTCACAATTTTGATGTATGAGTTAAGATTACCTTAAGAGATTATTGCATGATCATATGCCAATCCTGATGTCCTAATCAGTTTAGGTTTAAGATCAGATATCGAACTAGTGTTAACATAAATGGCCATAAATAGATTTAGGATTACATACTATGCTTGTCATTAGCCAACAATGTATGTGTGTGCCGTTACCTGTCTTTCAATGTAACATAAGCTCCAGCCTCTACCAACAGTTTCGCCATCAAATACAACCCTTGAGAACAAGCAACATGTAGTGGAGTTCTATGATCATAATCTTTAGAATTTGGATCCATTCCATTAGTCAAAATTCTTTTCAGAAATTCCACATCCCCACTTAGAACTACAGTGCAAAGAAAAGAACCAACATCTTTGACATCGATTCTGGCCTTTTCCTTGTATAACAATGCAGCAACTTTGTCATGTCCATTTTTGACGGCTTCTAACAGTGGTGTATTACCAAAATTATCTGTGGGGAAAGTACTGCATTAGAAAATATGTTGCCCAAGAAAGAAAACAAATCAAGTTAGTCATGTAGATAAAGCACCTGTCCTGTTCACATCGGCTCCTTCTTCAATAAGGAAGAGAACAATGTCTTCGCATCCTCCTGATGCAGCTATATGCTGTGGCCAGAAGAAGTTTCAAAGTTATTTGATTATGTACAAGAAATATTACATATTTATACTCTGTTACAAAATCAATATCGGTTATAAAGAATCAAGCATTCTACATATAAATTCAACAGAGTCGACCTCTCACTAGGGTGTGTTCTATTCATCTTCATCACGTATCTGAACTTACCTAACCTTACGTGCACTTATTAGACCTTATCAAAACTTATTTCATTTGTAATCTGAGCTTATTTTTCCAAAACCAAGTGATCATAAATGGGAATAGAGCATAGACTTTTCCTAATACATCAACTATATATTACATGCTTCCTATATACAATTACCATATCACTTGGACATAATACAATGTGCATGCATGGATAGTGGACCGCTTGAGACTTTGAGAGGGTGTGCTTTGTTTTTCATTTTACTTTTAGTGTAAGATATTATCTTAGATATGTGTCAATAATTGCTAAACTTTTAGTTTACTAACTACTTGTACATGATAGGTGCGCGTAAGTGTACCTGAAAACTACAGGGTAGCACAGTTCTATTACGAAGTATAAGTAATCAAGTATCATACCAGCGGAGTCCTTCCATTGTAATCTGTCTTCTTTAGATCAGCTCCGGCATTAAGCAAACTCTTTAGCTGATAAAGATCTCCATGGTGTGCAGCATTATTTACTTTGAGAGCTAGTTCTGATTCTTGCTTTGCTATGTGAGATGCAATATCAGATTCAACTTGCTTTAAGTTGTATTTTCCATTATTATTACCCTGCATATCAAATAGTAATGGTAGACATATTACTGGTGCACTTTTGTACCAAGATAAGTTTAAATCAATTGAGTTTCATGAGCATAACCGATAAAAGTATATGCAAAGCTGATCTTATTACAGTATAAAAATGAGAATGCATTTCAGAATGATTGAATTCCCTCGTTACCTCAAGCAGATTGTCAAAGATTTTCTTCCCATCATAAAAATATATGTCAATAATATTGCTTAATGACTCTTTGTCAATCCGCAGAAGCCGACACAGATCAATAACTCGGATAATACTAGGCTGAGGAACATTGCAAAAAATGGAGATTTGTCCAAAAGTGTTATTTGGTTCAAGACGAGAAATTATCTGTTCTGATCCGTCTTGCCCAATGCCTACCTCCTCCTGTAGAAAAATCAGCAGCCGAAATATTGCTTAAATCCTACAATCTGTATCCAAATTCTAATACTCCACTCTATAAAGAATCAGAGATGAAATAATGTGTAAATTTAATGCCATTTTCAAGAAATCAAACCCACATGTGAAGCTAATTATTCATAGCACACTATGAATTATAGCTATAGTTTTGCATTAGATGGTTTATTGAAATTACAAACTTTAAAAATCATACACGAAGTATGTAGTTTAATGCTCGATAATGACATGAGGATAAGAAAATTACAAACATAAATGTAGTGGATAAGAAAATGCAGTAACAATGTACGCATACCAGCAATCCATGACAGATGAAATAAAGTTGATCTACTACATTCCCTTGCTCTAAAATCACTTCACCGGGAAGGAAAAATTCTTCGTGGACTCTAATTGCCTACAAAATCACGTGCAATGATTATTGATAAAATTCAAATATCAATGAGCAGAGATATAACACCATAACACGGAACTCTGAAACATGCTAAAAGATCTACAGAAACAACTTTGTTCTGCTTTACTAAAGATCTGCATGAAGAAGCATTCATGAATTATTTATCATTGTGCATACAATATCATCACCAAAGTGCAAACTCCAATATATTATACTTTTTCAAAATGCATAAACAGATGAAGTATCTTAAGACCCAACCTATTCTCCAATCCAATAATCTCCTTGGTAAACTATAAGAAGCATCCTGAAATATATAGGTATATCCATGGTTCTGAAGCTCTTTACGATAGATCATTAGGAGCACCAAAACTTCAGGCTGATTTCATAATGTATAGGAAAAAGAATGAAGTTAAATGAATGGATTATATGAGTTGATATAACATTCGAGAGTGAATTTTGCGCTAATGATTTTTTTTAGAATTGATGAAATCCCAT